CCTGAATCCTGCCTCCTCCAAGAAACCACCTAGTGAACGAACATTCATTGAATCAATAAATGAATGAGCAGAAGCAGGAGCCTCTTTGGCCACAGCTGGTCTCTGTTCGCAGAACATGTGTTGTGCTTGCCCTCCTGGAGCCCCCTTGAAGAGTTTTTCAGTAGGCAGCCTAGTATCCTCGGTCTCTTAACCTTATTTCCCCCCCAAAACTTGTCACCCCCCAGGTGGTCCCTTCCTTCCTGTCCTCGCAGGATTCAGCATGGGCTGGTCCACGGCCACCTCAGCAGTCAGGCGTTGGTCCCTGGCTTCCTGGGAAGGCAGGAGGGTTTCCCCCTCGCTCAGTTCCCCAACTTTTCTCCTCGGGCAGAAAAGGACTGGACAGACGAGGACCGGGGCCGAGAGAAGGTGCTGATGCAGGAGCTCATGGCTCTCATCGAGCAGCGCAATGCCATCGTCAACTGCCTGGACGAGGACCGGCAGAGGTGAGGGAGGGGGAGGGGCTCCCCCACTCTGGGGAGTTGGGGGGGTCCTTGCAGGAGGGGCTCAGCTATCCCAGCACACCCCCCCTTAACTTGTGGGAAGGAGTCAGGCTGGAAGGGACTGAGAGAATATCCGGTCCTTTCTCCTGGGGGACACTGGGCTTCCCTTTCTCATTTCAGGGAGGAGGAGGAAGACAAGATGTTGGAAGCCATGATCAGGAGGAAAGGTGAGGCCCCTTCTGGCGCTCTGGTCCACCTGAATTTTGGGAGGGCAGCGGGGGCAGAGGGTCAGAGCGGGAGCTCCAGGGATGGTATGTGCAAGCTCTTGGCCTCTCTCTTGAAGAGAGGGCCATGTGTGGTGAGGCAGGCCAGCCTAGAGCCAGGAGTGCTGTGGCCTGGGCTGAGAGAGTGGGCTAGAGGGAGGGCTCGGTGGGCGAGGAACCCTGTACCAGGGCGGTTGCCTGAAGCCAGGAGTTCCTCCTTGACATCTGCATCTGATCTTGGAGAAGTTTGTGGGCTAGGGGTACCTGGGTGGCTGAGTCAGTGAAACCCCGGACTCTTGGTTTCAGCTCTGGTTATGATCTCATGGTGGTGGGTCGAGCCCTGCATCTGGCTCTGTGCTTAGCGGGGATTCTGCTTGGGGATTCTCTCCCTCTGCCCTTCCCCCCACCCTGGATGCTTGCACATGCTCTCTCTCTCACTCTCACTCTCAAATAAATAAATCTTTAAAAAAAAAAATTTGTGGGCTCAAATAGCCATGCCTACTGGAGATCAGACGGTGCCCAGAACAGCTAAAAGAGCACTGGCCTGGGAGTCAGGAGACCTGCTTTCATCTTGATCCCACCAGGGACTCATGTTGTGGCCATGTGGTTTGGTCTGGACTCTAGTCAGGCTGCTCGGGCCCCTCATCTGCCGCACGGGGGTGCTGAGTGTTTAGGGATGGCGCATGGAAGGCACCTCACCCCGGGCCTGGTCCCCGCAGAGAGCTCAGCTGGCCTTAAGTCCATTCCAAAGGCCCACAGTCGCCCATAGCTGCCTCGTGAAAACTGGGGGTGAGGCAGATATTTTTGGGGTTCCTTCCAGCTCTGTCAGTGTCCATGTTGTAGCACTCAGAGCTGTGAACAGTGGCCTAGGGAAGTGGGGCCTTTTCACGATAAACCTGTGCCGTGCTTCCGAGCTCCAGATTGCTTTCACGGTCGTTTATTTCTGGATCCTTGCCAAAACACCGGGACAGGGGCACAGTCCCTATCCTGCAGGCTCACAAAGCTGAGGTGACATGTCCAAGACCCCAAATGAGCTGGAGGAACGGAGCTGGACCTTCGTCACTCGCCCTGGCCTGCCCCGACGTACTCCCCTTCCCACATGCCAAGTGCTCCCCTTTCTCTTCCTCAGAGTTCCAGAAGGAGGCTGAACCCGAGGGCAAGAAGAAGGGGAAGTTCAAGACCATGAAGGTGCTGAAGCTGCTAGGAAACAAGCGGGATACCAAGAGCAAGTCCCCGGGGGACAAGAGCTAACAGCGAGGGCAGCCAGCTGGGACTTACGCTCCTCCTGGCACACACAGCCCCCGGGCTGTGCTCCGCTGCGGGGGGCACCCTGCTTCCCATTGGGATCAGTCCTGGGGAAAGATGTCAGGGGAGGGGGGCCTCTGGGTGACAGCCTCTCCCTCCTCAGGGTCCTCTGGCTGGTCTGGGCCAAAGAATTTTCTTCCCTTTCCTCGGGGCTGCAGGCAGCTGTGGCTCAGCCCTGCTCAGTCTGGTTCTGATAATTCCAGATGCTGGGATGGACCCAAGGAGCAAGGAGGGCCCTGGGTTCAGGGAGCAGCAGGGGTGTAGCACCCCTGCCTTGCGTCCCACCCACCACCTGCCAGGACGGGCTGCCCCCGGGTCCCTCTTCCCCTCTGTACCATGTCCAGATGGGATTCTTAGCAGTCAGAGTTCTGACCCGAAGGTCCTTCCACCCATGCGGTCGGCCTGTGGTGGACCTGTGGCCCAGGTCTCCTGCCTTCAGGGCCCTGCTGCTCTTGGCAGGCTGGCAAGCCTGGCTTGGCCGCACCGGCTTCTCCCACCCCAGCCCTGGCTCCGAGTCCCTATTTTCCTTTCCAGTGCAGGTGGCCCCGAATCTGTTTCTCCTCACTCAGGAGCTCTATTTATGAAGTCTGATTAAGTTTGAGCTTGTTACTCTGTCCTCAGACATGAATGGGCCTGATGGACAAATTCCTGCCTCTGTCCCTCAGACCTCTGGCAGGTGCTTCTCTCTTCTCCCCTTGGTCCATGGGAAACCTCGCCTCCCAGGAATTGGAGCTGGGTGGGTGCCCCGGTGCTGAGTCCCCAGAGAGGGCCTTTGGGTGACTGGCCCCAGGGGCAGTTCTGGTCCCCAAGCATGAGCGGAGGGAGCTGTGTGCTTCACGGAACACACCGCAGTCTGACTCCTGCTTCCAACTTGCCGCTGCCCCGGGCTGATCTTGGGTGTGGCCATCACCTTTCTGTCTCCTCACACCTGACTGTTGTCCATTCTCTCGCGACTTGTTCCCCCAAAGGACTGATGGCCACTCACCGCACTGTGATGGCCATGGGAGAGGAGGAGCCGATGGGGACAACGGGCTTGTGTCCAGCAGCCCTCAGTCACAGCACTGTTGCTATAAGCTATCTCTGGGGCTCTCTGGGGCGCTCTAGGGCCCCCTCCCTCAGTACAACTCTGGGGAAAGTACGCACTGTATTAACTCCTGAGGATTTTCCTCACCAACAATAAATGGAGACAACCTCAGTTGCCAGTGCCCCCGAGCCTTGGGCACTTTGCCCTCAGCTGGCTCTGCCTTCTTCCCTGCCTCCGCCATGTCCTGTGGTCAGGTATCTCTGGTCACCTGAGAGGGGCAAGTAGGGTATCTACAGCCAGGGACCTTGGCCCCCAGGGCCTGGTGGTGGGCAGGACTCTTCCTCAGCTGGGAGTGGCGGCTCCTGTGCCTTCGCAGCCCCTGGGGTCTCCTTCCAAACATGCCTGTTGATCAGAAGCTGGTCACCAACTCCAAAGACTTTTGGGGGCCTGGCGGGTCACATACCTGACGAGGCTGGGTGTAACCCGAGGGGTGGCTCTGTCAGGCTGTCTTGGTGTCTGAGACTCAGGTAATGGGGACTGAGGTGAACGAGGTTGTCTGTGTCCCAACTCTTAAGGGGCAAGTTCTTCCTTCCTTAAGTCAACCGTAGCCTGTGGGAATGTGGGCCCAGGTGGCCAGACCTTTCCATTTTTCAAAAGAAGCTGGAAATCCAGATTGTGTGTGTGTGATTTGTAAATATTGGCAACTAGTCTGCATTTAAATCAAGGGTAGGCTGTGTTGTCACGGGTGGGCCAAAGGTGTCCTGGGGTTCTCCAGTTTGCTGTCTCGGGGCTATGTGAGGGGGCCTTTGGGGTGGAGGACAGCTGTCCTTATTATGGTATACCCTCTGTGCTCAGGTTCTGGAGGGTATGTGGACACAGGCTTCCCAAAGAAATGTTCTAGAGCCAGCCCTTCCTTGAGCTGCCCCTTCTGCTAACCTGTCTGAGGCTGTAGGGCCATGTTTGTTCAGCTGCTGGAAACTTGGGTCATGTGGCCTGTAGGATTATACAAATCCCTCCAGATGGAAGTGTTGGTTGAATTTTCCAAACTGTTTTGATGTATGGGGACAGGAAAGTGACAAGAGTCCTGGAGAGTGCAGGGTTTGTGGTTGTCAGAAGACGTGAGGACTTTGTGTGGTCGGGTGCCTCCAAAGGCCTCTGAGGCGGGGCATCGCCCTTGAGCCGTGGGAGCTGAGGCCATGGTCCTGCTCGGGCTCCCAGTGCACAGACTGGGATCAGAGCTCCCAAGCCAGGCTCCTTTGGTCTAGCTCTCGCCCACCCTGTGTTTCTGTGGGCTGTGGGGTTCGTGGAAAGCCCGAGAACTAACATCTTATCCTGAATGACCTTGGTGACAGTGTCTTGGGGAGCCTTAGGCTTTACACAGGGAGAGCGAGCCGTCTTCGCACAGTTTTATTGAGAGAATGAACCAAGTGAAATTCAGCCCCTGACACAGTGCCCCGGCCGTGGGGTGTCCGAGAAGTGTTGGTTCTCATTTCCACTTGAGATATACAAACAGCCAAAAGGCATTTGTACTTAAAAAATTCTAACTCCTTGAACAAACAAGCCCATCCTTTTGAAAACAGAATGGTGTATGTCATGACCTATGTTAAATATGTCTTACTGGTCAATTAATCGTAGTGGTTAAACATTTGCCTAAGGCTGTGAGAAGTCAGACAAGTAGGTCCTAAGGCAGGTAGGAAGGAAGGAGTCGTATTCATTCCGCAGGTCTGAAAACTGGATGTGGAGGACTCACAGTGGGCGTTGGGGGAGGGGGAGGAAGAGGCCTGTTGGATGCCCTCGGACACACGCCCAAGGTGGTGAGATCGGGCCTTGCCTTCACTGTGTATGGGCTCTTTCCCTGAGAAAAGACTCGAAGTTGTGTGTGTGCGTGCATATGTGTGTGTGTCTGTGACTGTGGTCCACGGCCCACCTGACCTAGGCCCCCTGGGCAGAGTCTTGAGGAGAACGAGCCCATTCCCTGAGGTTGGTCCATTTTCCAGAGTGCCGTGTGTGCCCAGGGTCCCCTAGGCCAAGGCAGGGCTGCATAGCCATCCGATGTGATTGAAGGCCAGGGTAGGTGGGCTGACTTGGGCGGGGGGTGATGGCTCTGCTTGGCCAGGGGCTAGGCTCCAGTGGTCCAGGATGGGCTACCCTGCCCCTGTCTCTGGAGACAGGTCAAGGGGTGACAAGAGCCTTCCTAAGGTCCTCACTCCTCTTGTGGTCAATGTCTTCCATTTCCCGTAGTTTCTGCAAAGGGCATCAGGGAAAGCTGGGGATCAGGGATGGAACTTGAAGAGCCGCTGCTGACGTGAGGCTAGAGAAGACTCCCAGACCTGGGCCTGACCTGGGCGCTGGCCACCTCATCCACTCCCATCTCCTGCCGCACGCTCATGGTGGGCCCTCCCCCACCCCCTTCCTGTTGCTTCTCCTACCTGGGAGATCTCAGTGAGGATGATCCCTCGGTACTGTCTGCCTTGTCCCAGAGCCTCCATGCCAGCCAGGAATTCTTTCCTCTCCTGGATTTCCTTTACCACTAGATGGGGGAGAAGGGTTGTCCATGTTCAGGGCAGTAGGGAGCCCGCAGGCTCCTGGGACGGGTGGCGGGGGCAGCAGGTTGCCTCTCTCGGGGAGAGGAAGCAGTTCTGGGGTCAGACGGTGTTTCTCACTCTGGCCGCTGAAGACGGGCCCCTCCACGCCCCCCACTCCAGCATAAGTGGCCCCTCAGAGGCTTACATTCTTCAAAGCGGTCCAGCTCGGGGGCTGAGTCCTCTTGTCGCACGGGAGGGGGCTTTCTTTTCCATTCTTCTGAGTCCTTCCCAGTGGCAAAAATATTTTGGAGTCTTCGCTTCTCTTTCTCCAGATCTCCTGTAGGGCCCAGAAATGGCCTCATTAAGGCAGGCAGGGCGCCCCATTCATGGCATGCTTTGCTCCAGGGTCCTTGGCCACACGGAGGGGGCTTCTGCAAACCGGGCGCCTTCCACCCTGGGAGCCCCTGAGCTTGTGTCAAGACAGGCAGGAAAGGGAAGGGCTGGGAGAACGAAGGTCAGAACCCACACACGGCTCTGGTGCAGAGTGAGGCTAAGAAAACCATGCCTGCCGTGACGGCGGCCTGGGCAGAGAGGCTGCGTGGAGTTACATCGGACGCCAAGCAGGAAGGGGGACAAAGGCTCCTCGGAGTAGGCTGGCATGCAGAGGAGCTCTGGATTGGAGCGACTGTGTCACCTTAAGAGAGCAGTGGCCATGAGACCAGACAGCCAAACGTTCCTCAGGGACTGGTGGCCTCCAGGTAATCATTACAGAGTTCTCAGAAAATAAAAAAGGATCACCTAACCGGTTTCCCCTGGACCCTGAACACCCCAAGCGAAGGCGTGCCAAGGCTCAAGCACATTCGTATAAACAGCAGAGAATTTCCTTAGACACCTGCTTGCCTGCCCCGTGGGCTGCTTGGCCCTCCGGCCCCCCTTGAGGCCCTCTCACTTACGGGTGGCTTGAGGCTTGAATGGTTCCCGGCTGTAGGCCCCGTTGGCTTGGCACAAGCTGGCAGGCCGGAGGTGGGGCCGGGCCGCCAGGATGGGAGGCAGGTAGATGGCTGAGGCTGGCTGTTTGGAAGGCAAGACCCTCTGGCTGGATGTTGGGCTGCAATGTAGGGGCAGAGTGTCTCCTCCTGGGGAAGGAAGGTTTGGGTGAGGTGCGGGGGGTGGGGATCCCCCTGCGTTGGGTTGGGTTTCGTTTTGTGAAATTATAAAAGTAATACCACCTGTTAACAGCAAGTCGAAGAGTATAGAAGTCTTCCCTTCTGCCCTCCAACCACCCACCCCCACCCCGTAACGAGCAGTTGTTAGAATTTGGTGGTCTTGTTCCAGACTTTCTGACATTAATACAAATATGTTCAAAGATGTATGTGCGTATGTGACCTCCATGTTTCGAACACTGGCTCCTACCGTGTTATCTTCTGTAAGAGACTCTTAACAAGTTATCATGGACAAACTTCCAGATCACTCCATTTATATATAACTTATTTTTATAGCTATATACTAGTTTCTAGAATGGATACATTATTTATTTTATTCAACTAGTCTCCTAATTTCAGAAATTCAAGCTGTTCCTCTCCCCCCCTTTTTTTTACTACTTCAAACCAATGCTGCAATAAACATTCTTGTGCGTCAAGTCTCTATCCTGGTGCATTTATTTCTACAGACGGATTCCTAACACCTGCTTGGTCCACAGGCAGGGAGGGATGGTTTGGGTGGTAATACAAACCAGTCCCTCCTCCTGTCCATCCCCATAGTCTTGGCCTAGGTCTGGGGCTTCTCCCCCAGGCCAGCCAAGTGTGTCACCTCCTTTCTGGTTGTCTGGTCCCTCCTCTCAATCACACCAAAGCCCAGCTCAGAGCACGCCCTACCTGTTGCTTTGATCTGGCTCCCAACTACCTCTTCTACTTTTCCAACCTTCTATCATCCACTCAGCAAAAGATGTACTGAGCATCTGCTCTGTGCTAGGCCCTGGACACAGGGGTAAAGTAAAGTAAGATGAAGTCCTGCCCTCGGGGCACTTACATTTGGGGTTGCAGGGATATGGGTGAAACACACAGACTGACCGTAGAGGGACGGACCAGACTAGGTCAGAGCGGCATCTACAGTTTTCAATAGGGGAGGCAGGGAAGGCCCCATGAAGAGGCTAACGTTTGAGAGAAGACCCCAGAGATGAGTAGCTCTGCTGTGTAGATACTTGGGGAAGAACATTCTAGACAGAAGGAACAGCTAGGGCAAAGGCTGTGAGGTGGTAATGTGTCTGGAATGTCCGAGCAACAGCCAGGAAGCTAGGGTGGCAGGAATGGAGTAAGCAAGGTTGGGGTATAGTGGGAGTAGAGGTCAGAGGTCAGAGGTCAGGGAGGGCAAGAGAAGCATAGGGCCTTGTAGGCCTCTGGAAAGACTGGCTTTTACTTTGAGGTGGGAAGCCATCAGAGGGTTTTGGGCAGGGAAGTTACATGGTCCTTTGGCTGATGATGAAAATACAGTGTGGGGGCCAAGGGCGGAGGTGGTCAGTCAGGAATGGTTTGGAGGTCAAGCAGACCAAAGCAGATGGATTGGATGTGGGGTCTGGGAGAAAGAGAAAGAGGAGCCAAGGATGGTTCCAAGGTATCTGTCCTGAGGGCCTGGAAGGATGAAGACGCCATTACTTCCCACTAACCTTCCCCTTCCCAAGAGCCTCTTCCTAGAGCCCCAGCGCGCCTTTCCTACTCTTCTCTGAAGAGATGCTGCGCTTCCTAGAATGTCCCTCCTACTCCCTCCACGTGCTATTTCCACAGGCCCAGGGCCACGTGCTGCCTCCTGCTCGGGCCCAGCCTCAGCAGATGATTACAGCCCAAGTAATTCTGGGAGTTTGGGGGCATTTGTGGCCTGCCACAGCACTCGAATGAGGCCTCAGAACAACAAGTAGGATTTGGTTAAGAGGAGAAAAAAAGGGGGATTCCAGAAGAAAAGCCGACTCAACACCAATGGTTGGAGGCAAGTTTTTAAAAATGAAAACTAAGGGGGCACCTGGGTGGTGCAGTTGCCTGAGAGTCTGACTCTTGGTTTTGGTCTCAGGTCATGATCTCAGGGTCTGGGGATCGAGCCCCGTTTTGGGCTCTACACCAAGCGTGGAGTCTGCTTGAGATTCTCTCCCTCGGCCCTTCCCCCCAACTCTCTCTAAAATAAATAAATAAATCAGGGCGCCTGGGTGGCTCAGTGGGTAAAAGCCTCTGCCTTCAGCTCAGGTCATGATCCCAGGGTCCTGGGATCGAGCCCTGCATCAGGCTCTCTGCTCAGCGGGGAGCCTGCTTCCCCCTCTCTCTCTGCCTGCCTCTCTGCCTGCTTCTGATCTCTGTCTGTCAAATAAATAAATAAAATCTTTTAAAAAAATAAATAAATCTTTCTAAATAAATAAATAAATACATAAAAAGAAAACTTCGGAGAATAAAACTGTCTGGCAAACCTGTTCCTTACCTTGGTTTCTCCGCTAATGAAATCAGTCCTTCAGTAAACATCCAGCGTCTGGGCGCTGGGGGTACTGGGGTGAACAAGGACATAGTCCTTCATCTCCTGGAATTTACTTCTAGTGGAATTTCTAGGTCCTTCTCTTTGTAGTCATGCTGCTGGGGGGCACCAGATTATTCCTGGACTGCTGAGTGCAGAGGTGGGAGTGATGCATTGGGCATGGGTTAACACGCCAGGCTCTGACAGCCTGAGCTGTCCTCGTTCCCAGCGAGGAGGCTCTGACCCCCGTGCTGGTGTGGCAGAGCCTGCCTTGGCCACCGCTGGACCTGAACTGCCGATATTTGCCTCCCTGGCCCTCCCTTCCCTTTGCTTCTGTGGCTGCTCCGGTGCCCTCCCATGAGCATGTCTTCTGGCACATAAGGCAATCGCTTCTGGTAGACTTAGAGAAAAGATTCTGACATTCTCTCTCTTCAAGGCCACATCACAGGTCTCTGATCCATTAAATGCTGATTCAGTGGAACCTCAGGAAGCACAGTGGGGTTCAAGATCTTCGTGAGCACCTTGATCTCGTGCCCATGTACTACCATGGTTTGGTTTTCCTTCAAAACAACTAATACGTTGGGTGGCCAAAGGTGAGGTGCAGACAGCCTTTGCACACTCCTCCTATGCTGGAATTCTGCCAAGTGTTTTGCTTCTGCTAGCTAAGCTGTGACTGAATAAAACTATGACTAACACATACACACACAGTTCTTTCCTCTGGAGAGCTCCTGTGGGATGTGTGTAACGGAGAGGGACAGATGGCAGCCACGACCTCGTGGAGACTGTTTTGGCTGGGCAGCACGCCTTGATCGGGCTGTGTGATCTCTTGGAAGGCTGGCTAGAGAGAGATAGACTGCAAGAGGCTTGCTGTTATGCAAGGACCCATGTCCCGGGAAGAAGCTAAAATCCTAAAAGGTCAATTCCCCAGGAGCAAGGGTCAGAAATACTATTCATATATTTTTTGGTCTTTTTATTTTTTATTATTTTTTTAAAGATTAATTTATTGGGGCGCCTGGGTGGCTCAGTGGGTTAAGCCTCTGCCTTTGGTTCAGGTCATGATCTCAGGGTCCTGGGATCGAGCCCCGCTTTGGGCTCTCTGCTCAGCAGGAAGTCTGCTTCCCCCTCTCTCTCTGCCTACTTATGATCTCTCTCTGTCAAATAAATAAATAAAATCTTTAAAAAAATAAATAAAGATTTATTTATTTATTTTTAGAGAAAGAATGAGAGAGAGGGACGGAGGGAGGGAGCACGCACAGGAGAAGGGGCAGAGGGAGAGAATCCTTCAAGCTGACTCCGGTTGAGTGACAGCTGTCATGGGCTCAATCTCACAGCCCATGAGATCATAACCTGAGCCAAAACCAAGAGTTGGATGCTCAACCAACTGAGCCACCCAGGCGCCCTTTCTTTGATCTTTTAAAATGAGGCCCCCTACCCCTTAGTATGGAAGACCATTGAAAGTGTGGTCCGGAGTCCTTCCGCCCAGGAACCCTCAGTGGACTGCCTCTTACTTTTCATGGTGTCCATGATGTGGCGCTGTTGGAAGTTAGTCAGTTTGGATTCCTTCATCATCACTGCAAAGATAAAAGCACCTCTATGAGGCCTCCCGGGATGCAAGCAGAGCCCTTCATCTCATCCTATGCCAGTGTAAAACTGAATCACCCCCTAACCCCATTCTGTACCTGAGTACTCCTTCTCTCCCGTTCCTGCTTCATTGTCTTTTTCTGGAACACTTACTACCATCAAAATTCTTGGGGCACGTGGGTGGCTCAGTGGGTTAAGCCTCTGCCTTCAGCTCAGGTCATGGTCTCAGGGTCCTGGGATTGAGCCCTGCGTCGGGCTCTCTGCTCAGCAGGGAGCCTGCTTCCCCCTCCCTCTCTGCCTGCCTCTCCGACTACTTGTGATCTCTGTCAAATAAACAAATAAAATCTTAAAAAAAAAGAAATTCTACATATTTTACTTACTGTACCCCTCCTACTAGAAAGTTAGTTCCATGAGACAGCAAGAATGTTTGCTTTTTTTTTTTTAACTGCTGTTCCTCAGGACTTAGAGCAATGTCTAAAGCACGTTAAGTGGGTTTAAAATTTTTGTTGTTGTTGCGTGAATGAATGAATGGGTAATATTTACTAAGCATGTGCCAGGGGCTGGAGCTACAGTTGTGAGCCCAAACAGGCATAATCACTGCTCTGATGGAGTTCATGGTCTAGAGCGGTAGATGAATATTAACCCAATGGGAAAGAACTAAACATCTGACTACAGGTTGTGCCGTCCATTAAAGGAAAAGCTATTTGGTGTTGTGAAAGGGCGGAGTTGTTGGTTCCACTGTGGTGGTGGCAGGTGGGGAGGCTTCCTGGCTTCCTGGGAAAATTCAAAGTGTGGTCTACGGGGTCTACAAGAGTTTTGCAAGTTGTAGGATCCTTGAACCTTTCTGAACCCTAGGCTTTTTATCTATAAAATGACAAAAGCAATTGCTGAGCCGCAGGTCATGTAAAGGAGAACTGAGCTGCAGAGGGTTAACTGTTACCACCACTCTTCTCCTGTCCTTTACAAATACTGACCTCTGAGCAGCTCGCAGGTCCCCGGGGTGTAAGTGGCTGGCCTGGGGCAGCGCCAGAACTCTGTTCCTTTGGTCACCGTCTCCACCCTTTCCTGGGAAGCCATGGGAGGGCTCTGAGGAGAGAAAAACGCAACGGCACAACTCCTGTCTCCCAGGTCCAATCTCTGCTCGCGCACCCCACAACGCCACCCAAAGTCTGGCGGGGGCGGGGGGTGGTGGTGGCTGTCGAGCCATAGGAGAATCGTGACGTCGCCATCAGTATCGCGACAGTGCCTGATCCCCAACCTCGAACAGATACACAGGCAGACCCACATACACGAACGGAGACCTCATCCTGACCCGACGCCTGCGGCAGGGAAGCGGTCTCCGGAGGAAGGGGGCGTTAGGATAGCCGTGGTCCGGACAGTGCCCGTCGGGGGATACGCCAAAATTGAAACCTCACCCTAAAGTAAGACCCCGGCTGGCTACCCCCAGCCACAGAGAGCGGCTGGGCTCCGGAGACCGTAAACACGGCTCCGCAGCGGCACCGTGCCTGGACCCCGCACAAATACTCGCAGACCTCCGCGACCAGAGCCGCCACTAGCGACTCTGGCTACCATGGTAACGGCCACACGGCTCTCGGCGCGTGCGCACAGTTACGACTCCGGCCTGCCTCCCGGAAGTATTTGTCTCTGGGTCACGGCGCAGGCGTAGAGTACGAGGGGCACCGCGCGGAAGCCAGGCGCGGTGTTTGCGGGTCTCCTCGAGGGTCTTGAGTGCCCGGCCGCGTCGCGTCGGTGCGGGCGTCATGTCAGACAACGAGGACAAGTGAGTGCGGGAACTTCGGAAGGGGCGGGTGAAGCGGGAGCTTGGGCCGAAGGAGGCTGTGGAGCCAGGCTCCAGGGGCAGTCTCTGAGGGGACTGCTTGTGCTGAGGGGGCGCGGGGCTGGAGAGGGGAAGGGCGGGGAGCCGGGAATAAAGACCGGGCGAGAGGCTGGGCACGGAAAGGCCCGACTCGAGGGTCCAGAGAGGAGTAGTGAAAAGGACTTACAGCAGACTTTCGGTGAGCCGGGCTGTGTGGTTTGTATTGGGACTATTGAGGTGAATTAGGCATAGTCCTGCTCACCGGAGAGGGGACAGGCGCAGAAACAGTACGGGGTCGTGTGAGAGTACGCGTTAGAAGCGTGTAGCCCAGAAGTCATCGAGGGGAGAGTCTGGCGAGCCCCGGGTGTGTGTGTGTGTGTGAATGTCTGTAAGGGTTGCAGTAATCTCGGTGAAAGAAGGTAGTGGCTTGGACTGGGGTGACACTAGTAGACGTGGTGACAAGTGGTTTTGAATTCTGAATTGATTAAGATGCTAGGGCGCGAAGATTTCCGGATGTGCGTGGTGGGAGGAGAGTCTTCTCTGAAGATAAATACAGTGGAATCAGGGGTGGCTGGGTGGCTCAGTGGGTGAGAGCCTCTGTCTTCAGCTCCGGTCATGGTCCCAGGGTCCTGGGATCGAGCTCCGCATCGGGCTCTCTGCTCGGCGGGGAGCCTGCCTCTCTGCCTACTTGTGATCTCTGCCTGTCAAATAAATAAATAAGTAAATAAGTAAATAAAATAAAAATAAAACAATAAATAATAATTTGTTTTATAATAAAATTTTACAATAAAATAAATAAATAAAATCTTTTAAAAAATAGTGGAATCAGCAGCCTAAGTTTGTTAGTCAGAACTAAGAACCAGGTGAGATCACCAGGGGAGTGTCAGTAGGGAAGAGTAGATGGTTGGTGACCCAGGTGTTAGAGCATTCTAGCATTGAGTGCTCCTGGTAAAAGAGGGGAAATCAGCAGAGGAGACACGAGATGGAGCAGTCAGTGAGGTGGGGAACCCCAGGAGAGAGAGGAGGCCTTGCAGTCAAATGAGGAGAGTATATTGGGGGGGGGGGGGGCGGGGGTGTGGTCTAGTGGTCCAACTGATAGATCAAGCTAAATGAGAACAAGAATTGTCGATTGGATTTAGCAGTGTGGCAGTCATTAATGAACTTGAGAAGAGTGGTTTTGCTGGAACTGTGGGGGTGAAGGTCTTACTGGAGTGAGATTATGACAGAATGAGAAGAGAGGAATTGGAGACAGGGAAGATAGGCATCTCATGAATTTTGCTTCTAAGCGAAGCATGGAACTAGGACTCTGCGGGAGGTAAAAGAGAAGTACATTTTTTTTTTTTTAAAGATTTTATTTATTTATTTGTCAGAGAGAGAGAGAGAGCACAAGCAGGCAAAGTGGCAGGCAGAGGCAGAGAGAGAAGCAGGCTCCCGCTTGAGCAAGGAGCCCGATGCGGGACTCGATCCCAGGACCCTGGGATCATGACCCGAGCTGAAGGCAGTGGCCTAGCCAACTGAGCCACCCAGGCGCCCCAAGAGAAGTACATTTTTTGCTTTTAAAGATTATTTATTTGAGAGAGAGTGAGAGAGAGGTGGGGAAGGGCAGAGAGAGAGAGAATCTTAAGCAGACTCCGTGCTGAGCGCAGAGCTGGACATGGGGTTCCATCCCACAACCCTGAGATCATGACCTGAACCGAAACCAAGAGTCAGATGCTTAACTGACAGCCATCCAGGGACCCCTGTTTGTTTTTTAAGATGGGGAAATAACTACATGTTGATACGTTCATGGGAATGACCCAGTAGAGAGGGAAACAGTGATGGAGAATGAATGAGTCCCAGCAAAATTTGTGGGCTGATGGAATAAAGATGAAGGAGTAAAATGGAGCAGAAGTTTGATTTGCTCATTAAGTAGTTACTTATTGAGCCCTTTCTACATATCGGATGAGACACAGATCTCTTCTTTCTTTGATTCTAGTGTGATGCTCCAACTAACTGATCTCTTCTTCTTGTACAGTTTTGATGGTGACGACTTCGATGATGTGGAGGAGGATGAAGGGCTTGGTGACTTGGAGAATGCTGAGGAGGTCAGTGTTTAGCTGTGGGCTCCCTTTCTCTGCAGCCCAAGCTGCCGAATAAGCCATTTGGTGATAATTGCCTAAATGAGTGAGCGGTGTCCCAGTCCTGGGTGGTGGAAAAGTCCAACAGGGTGGGCCAGAGCCTATGGCTTTTGGGGCAGTTGGTTTGCTGATGGGTGAAATACCGCCATTCATTCAGCAAGCCTGTGTTGAATGTTTGTTATGTACTAGGTGCCCTGTGGGCAGGGTGTATGTAAGGGGCGGGGGGATGACCAGGATAAAGCTGGAGCGGTAAGGGCCCACATCAGGCAGGATTTTCTAGCCTAAAGGCACTGGAAGCCCCTGACAAGTGTTGAGGCAGAGAGTGGTCCAATCCAGTGTACATTTTAGAAAGGGCGTTCTGGCCTCAGAGTGACGAGTGAGTTGGGGAGGTCCAGGAGTAAAAGAGACCAATAGCGTCTCCATCCAGTTGAGAGACCTGTGGCTTAGGCTTGGGTGCTCATAATATAGGTGATGACAAAATGGATGAAAGATATTTTGGTGGATTGGATACAGAGCTAAGAAAGTGGGAGATGACAGGGGCGACCCCCAGGTTTCTGGCTTGCATAACTAGGTGGATGGGTTCCTAACTTCATGAAAGACATACAGCTTTCTGTCCTGTGACTAATGGAGGAAGAACTGCTTTATGGCTCCTGGAAAGGGAACGATCCCTCAATTTTTTTAGGCTTGGAAGCCAAAGCCCCCCTTTTTGGATTTTCTCTTTCTGCATGGCACTCTCTGCTCCCTGTTCACTGAGTCAGAAACCTCCTCCCCATCCTGGTCTCCCCATCCCCATTCTGTTGGTTCTGCCTCCCACATGTGGTCCAGCCCTGGTCCTCTTTCTCCGTTCTTAGTGCTTCCGCCTTCATTGCTTTCACTCACTTTGTTGTGGAAATGTTTTACTGGTTTTCCTGCCTTCAGTCTCCCTCCACGCTGCTTGATTTGCCATCCTGCTGCCAGAGTTTTCTCTCTTACCTGATTGATTACTGCTGCTGGTCTTCCTATAGGGTCTGCTGCTGCCCTTGCCCCCTACAGAATAGTGTCAACAGAGCATCCGTAGGGATACCTTTAAGTCTTTTTTTTTTTTTTAAAGAGTTATTTATTTGAGAGAGAGAGGGTCCGCTCATGTGCACAAGCAGGGAGGAGGGGTAAGGGGTGAGGGAGAAGCAGGCTCCCTGCTGAGTGGGGAGCCCGATGTGGGACTTGATCCTAGGCCCCTGAGATCATGACCTGAGCCGAAGGCAGATGCTTAAGCGACTCTGCCACCCAGGCGTCCAGGGTACCTTTAAATCTTAAGTCAAATTGTGTCTCTCCTCTATTCAGAACCCTCATCCAGGGGCTTCCCATCTCATACAGAGTAAGTGCCTTGTACAGAAGTACAAGGTCCTCCATGCTCTGGCCACCTGCTTTCTTATCTCTTCTTACTGTCCCTGTCATACTAGGTTGACTCCTGCTCAGGATCTTTGATCACCCTGTTCCCTCTTAAAGGAATGCTTTTCCTGTATGTATGTACATGACATATGGCTCACCTCCCTCAGGCCTTTGTCCAAGTGTCCCCTCAGTGAGGCTTCCGTGACCATCCTATTTAAAGTGGTAGCGTCCTTCCCCTCCTCCCACACACCCATCCTGGCACTCCCTTTTTTCACTTTCTGTTCTTAATTTTACTTATTTTTTTCTTTTGTTTTTATACTACAAATTCTATTTGTTAATTTTGTTACCTCTTCTCATAATGTCAGCTCTATAGGGGAAATAATTTTTTTTTGTCTTGCTCTTGTATTTAAAGCACTTAGAACACTATCTGACACACAGGTACTCAATAAATATTTGTTGGCTTAATTTTTTGTTGTTGTTGTTATTTAAAAGTTTCTCTTTATTTTAGTAATCTCTCCACCCAGCATAGGACTCAAAGTCCTGACCCTGAGATCAAAAGTCACATGCGCTACCCACTGAACGAGCCAAGGGCCCCTATTTTTTATAGAATTTATTCTTCTGCCTAAAACACTATGCTCACCTTTTGCTCTAATCATACTTCCTAAGTAGTACATTCTCTCTGACCCCTGTGCTTTTGTGCATGCAGCCCGGCCTGCCAGAAGTGCCCTTCTCTTCCTCTTGGCTTGGCAGCTCGTCCTCATTCTTCTAGTCTCAAGTCTCCTCTCTGGACAGTCTTCTGAACCCCCAGCAGGAGTTCGATGTCCCCCACCTTCTTGTTAACTTCGTGGCACACTTGCCTCCCTTTGTAGCACCTGCTGTCTTGTTTACTCATGTCTCCTCTGCTGGCTGACTTCTTTGAGAACAGAAACGCTTAGCTTGCTGTCTTACCACCATTGTGATGGTGTTTGGCATATGACAGACGCTTAAAGGAATTGTTGAATGCGTGTGAGTACGTGCACATTCCTGTCCTCACTTTGACTTCTTAGCCATCCGACTTGTTGATCCGGTACCCTGTCTGAAGGATGGAGTGTTTGCTCCTTGCCTCCTGCTTAGAGAGATCTGTCGTCTGTGCTCCAGGACTTGCGCACAGCTAATGTTCTGGGACCCGCCCACCCCCCACCCCCATCTCCAGGCTGTCTGAATCCCAGTCGTGGTTCTTCTCTTTCACTAGGCCTGAGCCTTTGGCTAAGTCAGCCCCTACTCTGAGCCTCTAAAATGGTCACTGTCATCCCCACCATGTGACGTCATCGTGAGGACTAAATGAGGTGTCACTACCTGTAGTGGCATGAGTGCTGGAACGTAGTAACTGGTGATGGTGGGGGTGATTGTCGTCATTGTCATCAGCATCCTCCCCCTCAACCCAGAACATACTCTCTGAGACTTTCCGTGCTTTCTGTCTTGGTGCCCAGGAGGGCCAGGAGAACGTTGAGATCCTCCCCTCTGGAGAGCGACCACAGGCCAACCAGAAGCGAATCACCACACCGTATATGACCAAGTACGAGCGAGCCCGTGTACTCGGCACCCGCGCCCTCCAGATCGCGTGAGTGTATGCCCCTTCACGGTCCTTTCTGTCAGTCAGGCCCCTGAAAACACGGTCCCTGCTCTCACCTGCTAAACAGGGCTGGTGTTGTCTCTGTGTGCCGGGCACTGTACGAGATTCCTGCCCTCAGGGAGTTTGTGATCCAGTGCGAGAAATAGAACATGAACATCTGAGAAGCCGAATAACAGTACAGTAGCAACATAAAAATACAGAACTTGAGTGCCTGTCACATTAGTGAAGCAAAACAAAGAAAAAAAAAGTGTGCCGACAGGGAGCCGTAGACTCTTGTGGCTGGTTGGTCAGGGGCACTGCGGGAACCCCCATCGGGCTTAAGGTGGTTCTTGACTTGAGGCGGACTGTGGCCAGTCCTGAGAAGAGGGGAGGCCCTCCATGTAGAGGCCAGGCCAGACCTTTCCTTTCTTCCAACTTAGGTGCCAGGTGAAGAATAACAAGATTCAGGAACTAGCCAGTAGACAGGCGAGATTAAAGCTTCCGATGATTGCGTATTCACCCTCTCAGCCGTAGGCAGCGCAGGCCTCCAGGGCCAGGGCCTGCGGGGGTAAGCCTGCCTGCCAAGGTGGTGATTGAACAGCTCTGAAAACAGCCTCCCTGTAGGCAGGTGGCTTTGGGAGAGCAGGAACTCTCGACGCTGGGCTCCAGGTAACAGCTTTTTCTCCCTGACTCCCCTCTTGGGAGTTATTATTCCTCCTTCCCAGGGACGGGTGAGTTAGGGCACAGAGAGGGGGCAGATACGTTATTGGTGACTCTAGTCGAATGTCCTCCCCAGGGAACACAGGCTGAGGGAATGAACCCCCGACCCCAAACATCTTACAAGCTAGTGTGGGAATGGTGGGTGTCTGGAGGAGTGGGAGCTGTAAATAGGGAATAGTGGGAAAATGTCTAGAAGGAAGAGCTGGGGTCAGCTTTGTGGAGTCCTGCATGCTGGAGGAGATTCTGATCTGTGTTCCCTTCTTTGTTTTCAAACAGCGTTAGGCTTTATCGCCTCCAGGTCTCTGGGTAAAGATGACCACCGTGTCCGCTTTGAGCAGGGTTTTATGGGTGGCCCACACTGTTCCTCACCTTCAAAGTAATAGACCTCTCTCTAGCCTGTTGTACTCCTGGCTGGTCTGGGTGGGATTAGTGCTGCGCTCACTATGATAATTCTGATTATCTGTGGGTCAGGATCCTCTGGGTCTGTACCATCAATTATGGTAGCCACTTGCTACATGTGGCCATTTAAGTAAAAAAAAATAATACTTTATTTATATATTTATTATATATATTTATATATAAATATATATATGTAAATATTTTATTTATATATCTATTTGTCAGAGAGCAAGTGCGAGCGCAAGCAGGGGAAGCAGCAGGCAGAGGGAGAAGCAGGCTCCCTGCAGAGCAAGGAGCCCGATGTGGGACTCAATCCCAGGACCCTGGGACCATGACCTGAGCTGAAGGCCAATACTTCACTGTTCACTGCCTAAGCCACTGAGGCATCCCTAAGTCAAGTAATATTAAGCGAAATTTAAAGTTCAGTTTTTCAGTCTAATTAGCCACATTTCAGGTGCTCAGCCACACGTGGCTAGGGTCTCCGTAACAGTGCAGATAGAGGACATTTCCATCACTGCAGAACATTCCAGTGGGCAGCGCTTGTCCAGGCTAAAAATGATCCAGCGGAAAGGATAACTTGTAAATTATTTTTCAAACAGGTAGAATGGTTCTCTGCCCGCTTACAGTCTTTCAGCACCGAGTGAGGCATTGGGCTCGCACCTGTTGGGGTGGGGAAGCTGACTGCGGATGGCCCCAGGCCCCCAGGCCTCCAGGTGTTCGCCGTCTGCTGGGGGAGATGGCTCACAAGTCACCAGAACCTGCAGCGGCCGGGTGCCGTGCTTTCCAGAAGGCACGAGGAAGGAGAGAAGGGAGTCACTGCGGGGCTGCCTGGGAGAGCCCAGGAGGATGGGGAGAGGCAGGCGGTTTTGAGGGTATCCCGGGTGCCAGAGACAGCACAAGGAAGGGCTGGCAAGCATGGATAGTGGTGGGGGAATGGCAAGTAGCTGGGGACACAAGGCTGGAAAAGGTGTCACCGGTGCCTTGAGTGACAAGTTCACAAGATCGGCATGCATTTGGTGGGCAGTGTGGGGAAAAGTTGGGAGGCGGACATTCGGTACACCGCCGGTCCCAGGGTCTTGCTTTGCTTTGGGAGAGAAGCTTGGTTCAGCTTAGTTGGGTCTACTGTGCGCCTTCTCTTTATGGGCTGGGACGCTGTCTGGTGGCTCCCTGCTTGCTGTAGGCCCTCCGACAGCCAGGGCTGTATCTTGTCACCTAGAACCAGGCATGGGACCCTGCACCTGCAAAGTGCTGAACAGTTCTTTGAATTTTTTGAAGTGTCGCTCTGGGTCATTAGCACCACCTGGTGGCCGATGTTTACCAAAGCTATTTCTTGAGGATCATTGGCAAGTTTGTGGGGTCATTGGTGCAGGACAAAATACCTAAGGGCACGCTCGTGATGCGCACGTTGTATGCACAAGGCTGGATGAGTGGACTTTAATTATTAATATCTTGAAAGGAATAAGGTGTACACGGATCAGGAAAACCATTTTGCTATATATTTTAAAGCTTTAAATTAGTGGGAAATTTGAACACTTGAGGGGGGATATAGGGAAGGTTAAACATTTGGTCTCTGCCTCTGGGAAGTTTTCAGGGAGTAACAAATCAAAGTCATAATAAAATTAGTAAATGACATTGTGTAAACTGGCGCCTCTCAGACTGGCTATGATCAGAATCACCTGGCGAGCTTTGCAAATGCAGGTTCTCAGGCTTCTTCACTAGAATTTCCATTCAGAGGGTCTGGAGCAGGCCCTGAGGGCCTGTATTTTTAGCGCATTCTAGTAATTCTGATGATTGTGGGGTTTGGGATCCATTCGTGTAAACTTGTGATGAAATCATGAATCGTGGCTTCCCAGAGGATAGAATTGGCGTTCCTCCCATTCATTTTGAGAGCCTTTGCTGCCGGCCAGGTGTTGTGTTAGGATGTGTGGTCCCAGGCCACTAGGTGCTTATGGTTTAATGCAGAAGACTCCAGATAAGCAACTACCATCCAGTGAGATCGAGAAGCTTATGGAAATGTGGCAGGGCGCCGAGCAGGGATTTCCGGGGCAGAGGATTGCCAGAGAAGAGAAATTTGAGCCTATCCCTGGCTTCTAGGGAGAGGAAGAGCTTATTGGAGGGTGCAGAAGGGAGCCCCCAGGGTGTGTCCGGGGCCCATGGGAGTTTGGTATGGCGGGAACGTGGGATGAATACAGGCAAGTAGCGTGAGAAGGTGCTCCTAGAGAGGTGAGCAGACTGGGTTCTGCTGATGGCCGAACCCAGTGTCATGGAAGGGTTGGAAAGAAGAGGGCATCTGCCTGCAGGCCCTGTGTGGAGGTTGAAGAGCAGGATCCTGAGGGGTGTTACTTGGGCAGAGAAGGAAAATGAGTTGGCTGGGCCCTGAGGCAGGCCTGAGGAGTTGGGTTAGAACTAGCCTTTGGGTGGTCGTTCCTTTGTGCTGGAACACTCTGCTGAGGGGGCGGGGCTCGGGAGTCTGTGGAAGGCCCTTGTCAAGGGAGCCGACAAGGATGTCTTATGGCCCAGTGAGGAAAGCCTACATGTGTCCTGTTCACAGTACCTTTCTTAAGTTTATGGACATGTATTTTTAAAGATTTTATTTATTTATTTGACAGATACCACAAGTAGGCAGAGGAGGGCAGAGAGAGAGGAGGAAGCCGACTCCCTGCTGAGCGGAGAGCCCGATGCGGGGCTCGATCCCAGGACTCTGGGATCATGACCTGAGCCGAAGGCAGAGGCTTTAACCCACTGAGCCACCCAGGCGCCCCCTTTTTTTTTTTTTTTTTTTAAGATTTTATTTATTTGACAGAGATAGCACAAGTAGGCAGAGCGGTAGGCAGAGGGAGAGGGAGAAGCAGGCTTTCCAGTGAGCAGGGAGCCCGATGCACACCTTGATCCCAGGACCCTGGGATCGTGACCTGAGCTGAAGGCAGACGCTTAACTGACTGAGCCACCCAAGTGCCCTATTTTTTTTAATTTTTATTTTCTAAAGATTTTATTTGATAGAGCGCAAGTATGAGAGTACAAGCAGGCAGAGTGGCAGAGGGAGAGGGAGAAGCAGGCCCCGATGGTAGGGAGCCTGATGTGAGGCCCTATCCTAGGACCCTGGGATCACGACCTGAGCTGAAGTTAGATGCTTAAATGATTAAGCCACCCAGGCGCCCCCAAGTTCATGGATCTTTAGCCTATTAATGGGAGGTGTTACAGCATAGTGGGTAGGTGTATGTGGGATTCCAGTCTTGACTTTGCCACTTACTGGCTGTGTGAGCTTGGGCAAGTCACTTATGTCTCTGTTCTTAGTTTCCTCCTCAGTAAAATGAGAATTATAGGAGTCCTCACCTCAAGTGAGATCCTCTGTGGAAAGAACGGGGAATAGCATACAGTACTAAGTTAGCCAGTAGTGTTTTTGTATCATCGTAGGCAAGTCAGGGCTCTCTGTCTCCCATGTTTGAGTGAGGATACTGAGATTTGGAGAGAAATTCAGTGTCTCTGGAGGTAGAATTTAAAGCCTGTCTCCTGGATCCCACTTGCTTATTACAGTCACTGTGGCAGTGCCTCCAAACCCCTTCCCACCCCCCATGCTTGCCTGCCTCCCTAGAAGGTGACCTTTCTTGGGGAGGACTAGGGCGCTGATCTGATCTTATTTGTGAAGTGAGCCCCCGTCTTCCTGCTGGGCCCTACTCCCCCAACACGTGTCCCTATACCTACAGGATGTGTGCCCCCGTGATGGTGGAGCTGGAGGGGGAGACAGATCCCTTGCTCATCGCTATGAAAGAGCTCAAGTAAGTCACCCAGACTGTGGTTCACTTCTTCAGAGCCCTGGGAGGCATCCCTTAGGTTCTCTGCTGCATACCCCGCCCCCCCACACCCCTGGCTCGGGAGGTGTGATTCTTGTTCCTATAGGTCCTTAGTTTGTTCAGGAGTCAGCCCTGTAGGAAGAGGGGTGGGAGGGAGCAGGCGAAGGCGGGTGGGATTAATGAGACACAGTCCTCTCCTGTCTGTCGAAATCCCCCTCTTCCTGCTGCACTTGGCCTTACCAGTATCCCCCACACTTCTTCTCTTTCTCATAAGATGGCAGACCCACTCTCATACGATTTCCAGACCCACTGTCCCCCACTCGAGAATGCAGGAAGTTTCTTTTTATTGTAATTTCTTTCCCGCAAAGTGCTCTCATAGTCCCAAAAGGATGCTGTCCAGACTTCTCTTTCGTGGCATTCTGTGCACAGTCTGTCCCATCTGCTGTAGAACCGGGACCACCAACCCTGTGACTTCCCCTGCCACAGGGCCCGAAAGATCCCCATCATCATCCGCCGTTACCTGCCGGACGGGAGCTATGAAGACTGGGGGGTGGACGAGCTCATCATCACCGACTGAGCCGGAGTCGTCTTCCTGACTGTGCCTCATCCTATTTCTCATTCTTTCTACGTGTAAATAATAAACTGTTCAGCCTTTTAGCCCGCTCTGCCTCCAGCTCTCTGATGCCCGCTTGGTCCTTCCCTGTTACTGCCCCGCTGCCTGGCGGGGACACCCATTCGTGTGGCCCCCGACCGTCCGCACTGAGGAGCACCGGGGGCCTTACTCCTCGTGGATCCCCCGCGTCCCTCCCTCCATCTCCCCGTTCCCTCGTGCAAAGGCTGCTGCGGGGAGACACCTCAGCTGCCTTCCCAGCAGACAGACGAGTCTTTGTGCCCAGGGAGCTGGTTGCCACGGAAACCCCCAGTTTCCTTTCCAGGGGGACTGGCTGCAGGGGCTTCTCCCTTCTCAGGAGTATCACAGAGCAGGTCTCATCAAGCCACCCATTGTTTCCTGAGGACCTGCCTCGAGCCTCTTATCGTGGGCTCGGATCCCCTTTCAGGAGCTAGTGCCCCAGCAGGAAGCTTAGGGATGCAGTGATCTCCCGCCCTCTCCAGGCGGAGCCCTGCTGGGCAAGGCAGCAGCTGGAGCAGGGACCGAACACCTGTCCACCCCTGTCCCCAGTCTGTCCCCACTTCTCAGGCCACTGTCCTCCATGGGCTTCTGGTCAGCCACACCCATCTCCTCTCCTTCCCCACCTCTGCAGGATGTCCCTTCCCTTCTGTGTAGGGCCCGTGCTCCTGCAAGGCCTTGACTGGGATGACGGTGGGCATGGAAGCAGGGCTCCCGGGTTCCAGGTGTGACATGAAGTCGACACTGGCGCTTCCTCTGTCCTCGGTTCTGGGTCCTGCTCTTTTCATCCTGCTTTACCCAACCTGCAGTAAGACCAATCTCACTGCTTCCTCCCTCCCTGGGGGGACAGGGAGAGGGTGTATATCGACACCCACAGAGAGGGAAAGTTGGTTCCCTGAATATTCCAGCCTTGACCTCCATTCTGCTGCCAGCTCCCCTTCCAGGAGGAAGAGTGGGCTTTCCCAACCTCTGCGAGAGGCAGAACCTTCGGGATGTATGTGCCGTGGACAGAGTGGGAGTGACAAGTGTCCCCAGGAGTGGGAGGGGTGTCTGCCTCTCCGGAGAAGGGTTAATCCAGGGAGCCCTGGACTCAGCACCCCTTTCCTCCCTCCTCCAAGCCTGTGGAGTCCTTTAATCAAGTAGGGTGCTGAAATTCCAGCTCTGAAATGCCGCCTTTGTGCTGGCGTCCAGGCGGCCGCCCCAGAGTGCGGGGTCACTTTCTCGGCCCCGATTCTCTAAATGGTTTCTTTGTTCCTGCTGGGCCGCTCAGTATCAGATGTGATTAAAGGGAGATGGGGTTTGGGCGGGGGAAAAGAGAAGGGGCTGAGAGAGGGAGTAGGGGGTTAACCCTTAGGGGATAGGGTGTAGGGGAGATGGAGGAAGGGGTGGCTTTCCTCCTGTCTTGCCCTTCCCAACCTGCTCCTGTTTCATGGAGTCAGTCCCTTGCTGCTCAGCTGGCCAGGCCTGGGCATGGCTTCTTCAGTCCCTTCCAGAAACATCTGGCCCCATCTCTCCACACACGGAAGCCACTGCCCTACTGAGGCCCAAGCACATCCAGAACCTTAGGTCTAAGGGGGTGAGCACAAGCCAGGTCTTCCCGACTTCTCCAAGGTCATTTGTCCTCTCTGGGGCCATTTTTACCTCCTTCCATATCCCCAGTGACTTCCCAGTCCATCTCCATCTCTTGAGAGGCAGGGTCCTGGAGGCGGTGGGTTCTTCTCCATGGAGCCCCCCGTCCCTTGTGCCCTACTGGCTCTGTCCACAGCTCCGCTGAGAGCAGGAGCAGTGAGCACCTGGAAATGGACTAACAACCTGCATGGCAACAGAGGGGAATGGCTGGGTCGTAAAACTTAGGAGCACCGAAGGTCGGTCCTCATCCGTCCCTGACAAAGTTTGTAGAATAGGTTGTTGCCTATTTGAGAACACAGAGGTAAATAAAGAGGAGATCCCGGAGCTAGCAGAATTTCTAAGAATGTTGCCACATGAATCCAATTTCCATTTCTCAAAGGTTAGTAGTCTGGTTGGTCTGGTAGGTTGGAGGAATGCCACAGAGCGAATCTTGATTTCAGCAAGGCATCGGGGCATCGGGTGGTCTTCCCGAATAGCTACGATGGAGAAGGTTGTACTCTTGGTGATACAGTCAGATTCAGAGTTGACTGGCCAGTTCTTCCCTCAGAGTGTTAATAATGGAACAGATGATGGAGAAGTATTTGGTGGTGGATATGGGCCTCTCTTCATGTCAACGTGTTTTATTCGTGACTTCAATAGGGACTTTCAAGTTTGCAGATACATAAAGCTCAGAAGGAGCATCAATAAGTTGGATTCAGAATTCCAGGACTGAGTATAGGTGGGAAAACAGTCAAATCCAACAAGACGAGTTCTGTCAAAACTCAGTATAAAATCCTGCCTTTCGCTACAACACAACAAAAGACACCAGAAAATAGCTTCTATACGGTTTGGGGTGATCTGACTTGGCATCCATTATGTCTGTAAGAGCAGGGCTTTCTAGTTACCGCTAAGCCTCATGGGAGCCGGTGGCTATGGCTGACGTTGCCAGAAGAACCCGAGTGACGCAGCTTCCAGGTGGGAGTGTGGCCAGCCTGGGGGACTGCGCTACTTGGCGCTCCCTGCCCCGCCCCAGGTCCCGATGAGGCGGTGAGGGGGTGAGGGGCTGGAGCCCGCAGGTGGAAGAAATGGAAAAGGGAGCTGGGGACGCTGGTCTAGAGCAGCGGGAGAAGCATCACTCCCGATGACAAGCAGAATTGGGGCCTGCAAGCCGTGGGCAGGGTCAACGTCTCATTAGCATCAACGTCTCAAAGTTTCAGCCGCCCATTTGGAAAATAAGGATAATGAGTGGACCCACTTGGTCCTAGGCCTGCATGACAAAGCACTCAGCAGAGCACTTGGTCAGGGAGCACTTAGAGCACGGGGGCTGTACTGTTGTTAGGAGCCGGGCCTAAGGAAGACCTCCAACTCCCAGAGCCATCCATCAGTGGAAGATGGCAGGAAAGAGGTTTCCCTTGTCCCTGATGTGGAATGGCTTCTGCCCCCGAGCACAGGTTGGAATTCCACCGAGGGAAGAGCTTTTAGGGAATGAGCACTGAAGGATGAGTTTGCGTGTCTGCCGTTCCGGGTTCACACACAGACCCATGCAGCTGCCATGAAGACTTGGCTAGATCGTGGAGCAGACTGAGGGTGTGTGTGTGTGCACATGCACATACGCGCTAGGGGAGGGGAGGCACAAAGGGGTGCAGTGTGAGAAAGCCCGGCGACACATCCCAAGGGACAGGCCTGCTGGCCGTAGACGGCTGGACATCAGGCTTGACCGCACCCCCCTTTCAAATACCTGTCCCTTGAATGCTTCCAGGTCCCACCCCTCTGCTGGGCAAGTAAAAGGGTCTGCTCCTGCTGAGCTCCAGCTGGAAGCACAGGTGGCCCCCCGACAGGATGAGCGCAGCAGGGCTGGGGGAGAGCTCCCAGCAGGGGCCTCCAGCCCGGGCATCAACTGACCCCACCGGGATGCCAGTTGTCCCAACACACGGCACGGCCCCCACCATCTCACGGGAGAGAGGAGACCTCTGCATTATCTGTCCTTTGCATTCTGCCCCTAGCTACTTCCAGAAAGCATCCGAGGAGGCACAGGTGCAGGGATAAGAGACCAAGAGACAGGCCAGGTCAGGCCCACCAAGCAGGTAACCGGAACCTTTAATTTTATTATGTGGAATGCTTAATGCAGAGTTAATAGGGGCTGGAATACCTAGGAGGAGGGGAGAGGGGAGAGGGGTCTACTGAGATAAATAAGAGGGGGGCAGTAATGAGTTACATGTGGACTGCGGGGGCTGCAGAACAGGAAGATAGGGGCAGACAGAGCTACATACTTTATTCAGATACCACTGGGAGGCAAAGGGCAAAAGGCCAGGGCAGAACGTACATGTCAGGAGTCTAGTGTCTTCAGCCTGCTGCCAGCAACCTGGGTCCTGGGCCCTGTCCTGTGTCTCCTCCTGGAGCTAAGGGCAAAGGTCTGAGCAGCTGTGACCCTCTGGGAAGCCCGAGGGGCTGGGGCTGATAGAGCAGGGACCACAGAGCCTGGTGAGGGGAGAGGGAGTTGGCGGGGAGCCTGGGAGGAAGGCTCTGTGAATTGTCTCTGAATCCTTTCCTAGAGCCCCTGCCTCGTCACTCCTCATCTGGGAGGTGCCTCAAGGTCTGGGGGGCTGTCATGGAGTAGGACCAGGACGCCCTGTCTCTGCGAGACAAAGAATGAGGTGGCTGGCATGGAAATGGGTCCGGAGGCCTCTGTGCCAATTCCTCCCTGTGTTCAGAAGGGGAGGGGGCCCTGCGGGGATGAGGAGTCCTCCCTCTGAGCACCCCTGCCCCGCCCAGGCTGTTCAAAGCTGTCCTCAGCCCCCGAGGGACAGACGTAGCCCACTGTAGGCACTGACGCAGGTCTCTGGCTGGCTTTGATCTTAGGCACATGGCCCAAGTGGCACGGGTTATGTCAGACCCCTCACTCTCCACAAGAAAGCCAACATGGGCACAGGCGTGGCAGGGCCTCCGATTCCCATCCGACCCTGGATGCCTCCCCGACTCCCAGAGGAGGGTGAATGGGTCTTTCTCAGGTCCTGGGATGAGGGTCATTCCTGGCGGGGAAGGTGCAGCCCCTCATCGTTCAGTCTAGGGGCGACAGTCACCTCCTTCTCCTCTGCCCAGCCTAGTAGCCCAGGGCTTTGCCTGGGCTGGAGCTGGGATAGGATGGGGTGGGGTCATCAAAGGCAGTGAGCCAGACAGAAAGCCTTCCCTCAGCTGTCAGCCTCTGCAGCCTCCTCTCCAGCCACCACCAGGCCTGAGATGGGTGAGGAACAGGGCACGAGGGCTGGGGGAAGGGGCATGCTACCCAGAGGGGCCGGGTAAGGTGGCGATGACAGGGCCCCCCCTTTAAGGCCGGGACAGCGTCGTATATACTGGCTGCTCCCAGTGTGTGGGGCTGTGGGACTGGGGCCCTGAGGGGCTGGGGTCAGAGATGGCCGTGTAGAGGGG